GTCTAGTAGCAGATATGTCTCTTTGGCGCCCTTGGAATCGTGATGTACCTTCATAGCATGGGATACTATGATAGGCTTGCAAGATGCCAGCACCCTCTGTTAAGAAGTGTTCACCGATCATGGTGAGAAGCTTGTGTAAGCTACTTCGAGGTTCATGGGTAGTTATAAGTAGAGTTACAAGTAGGATAACTATGGCTATAACCTAAATAAGGGCCCTTATAGCCCCACTCATAACCCTACAACCTGATGGAATCCCTAGAGATCCTTTACAGGGACCCTTACAGCAACCATTATAACTACCCACGAACCTCCAAGTAGGGTTCATGTAGTGCTCCTCAGAGCGGGATCTGGCGTCTTCTTGAGGGTGTCCTAATCGTCACAACCCTGCAGAATAATGTAGGAACCTGATTCAGAAACATTGAGCCTAGAACCCCAAAATAGTAGGATCCATATAAGGAAGGCCAAAACAGTAAGATCCATATAAGGAAGCCCGAAATAGTAGGAGCCATATAAGCAACCCCAATACGGGCCCAAGGTTTCTTAATCAGAACCCCGAGGCGCCGACATCCCTCAATTAAGGAGTACTTGGAGGATTATGGGACTTAGTAAGGGGTTCCTTAAAGGGCTCCTTAAAGGGATCTATAGGGTTCCTTAAAGGGATCTATAGGGTTTAGGGTTTAGGGTCTACTTGGAGGATCATGGGACTTACCCAGCGAGCCGAATACCCCTTAATTGAGGAATATGGCTTAAATCATAATATGAAGCCCTATATGATCTAAGCTATATTACTTAATTAAGGGGTATTGGGCTCTCTGGGTAGTAAGTAAGACTATGAGTACCTTGATTGGGGTTATAAGTAATTTGAAGTAACTTACCCTACTTATAACCCTAGTTGCTAAGTCCCGTGATCCGTTACGTATTCCTTAAATCCTACTGTGCTTCTCAGTCTAATTAAAGGTGAATTCAGGTGTAATCCGCAATTAAGGGGTATTGGAGTCTCTGGGAGTATGGGGCTAAGATGTTGTAGCTACATGGCTCAATGCCGAAATACATCTTGGTCTAGGTGTGTTCAGAATCCTTAGGCATTGTTGCGATGGTTCGCCGTTTGCGATACGGCTCGAAGGCGAGAGCACGCTGGTTGATCTTCATGCCCTTCCAGCCCAGCGATAGGATGCCCCTAAAACCCAAACCCTCCGAAACCCCTAAGACCCTAAACCCCTATCCTGAAAGCCTGCACGAAACCAGACCTCAGAACCTACACCCCAAGCCACCCGAAACCTGAAACCCGAAAGCCCTAAACCCCTAAACCCCGTAAACCCCTAAACCCCTGAACCCCTGAACCCTAAACCGAAACCCCTAAGCCCCTAAAACCCTAAACCCCTAAGCCCCTAAAACCCTAACCCCTAAACTCCTAAGCAGGCCCCTCTGGGACCAAAAAGATGCCCCCCTTGCAACCTTAACTCTGATCCCTGAGAACCCAAGAACTGAGGCGACCTGTCCCGAGACTTCAGGGAGTTGAGGGGTTGAGGGGTTGAGGGGTTTAGGGGTTTACGGGGTTGAGGGGTTTAGGGGTTTAGGGGTTTGGGGTTTAGGGGTTTAGGGGTTTAGGGTTGAGGGAAAAGGGTTTAGGGGTTTAGGGTTTAGGGGTCGAGGGGTTTAGGGGTTTGGGTTGAGGGTTTTAGGGTATAGGGGTTTAGAGATTTAGGGGTTTAGGAATTTAGGGTTCTTTTGCAACACTTACAGGCAGCTGTCAAGCACCAAAAACTCCTTCATCGGCATACAGCTGAACTCTCCACCCCCCAACCCATATTGGCTTCCGCGTGGGCAGAACATTCGCATTACATTATTCCCCAAAACTTAAACCCTAAACCCCGAAGCTTACGCCTTAACCACCAAAGCTTACGCCTTAGACCCTAAACCCCGAAACTTACGCTTTAGACCCCAAAACTTACGCCTTAAACCCTAAAAACCCCTTAGCTCGAAGACTTGGACGAGTGCACAGGGCTCTGATCAGCCGCACTAAGATCCACGTCGGCCTCTTGCTTTGGCCCACTGCCTCGGGTTCAGGTTTAATGAAGGTTTTAGGGCTTGTATCGTCTCCTTAGGAATTATTGTTTATTCTTGTTCATATAACACCGGAGAGAATATTAAAAATGCTATGTTTATTCTGGTTCTTAGGGGGTTTAATGAAGGGGCTTGATCCTCATAGGAGGCCACAAGGGGTTTTAGCCTATGGGGACATAGTAGGGGTTAGGATTCCCATAATAGGGCTCATATCAAGGAATCCCTACCCCAGGAATCTTATACCTTCATTTTGGCCTCCCATCAGAGCCCTGTCAACATTGTTGAAACAGCACACCACCACCACCACCGCCACCACCGCCACCACCGCCACCACCGCCACCACCGCCACCACCACCACCACCACCACCACCACCACCACCACCACCACCACCACCACCACCACCACCACCACCACCACCACCACCACCACCACTGCCACCACCATCACCATCATGATCATCAGCGTCGTCGTCGTCGTTTTGGCATGATCGTCATCATTGATGTTGTCGTTTTTCTTCAACATCACATCTATCAGTCATGAGGATGGACAACATCCACAACACTATCAAACAGTGAGCAGCGTCGCCATCGCCATCATCGTCATCAATCAGCGGCATCAGCCAGATCATCGCACGCACCATCGTTACTATAGCAAAAACGAGATGCCCTGACAAACACGCCGGTCGTTGCACGTAGCTTAAGTATTGGGAGCTTAACTAGCTAGGCAACAACGCACGTGACTAACAAAGACCACACCGTCGTTGTCGAAATACCGGCAAAGTAAGTTCTTGTCAGCGTCAGTAGTCCAAGTTCTGGAAACTTTCTGCTCCCGTGGTTGTGTGGCTTGACCTGAAGAGGTCCTCCAAAAAAGCAGAGTGGTCGACGAGGGCTATCCTGCTTGATATATTGGAGTTGATCAACCGAGGCAGCACACAGACAAACAGCATTGAAGCGTTGAAGGTCAGGGTTTAATATAGGGGCCGTAATTTATAGGTATATTATGGTCTACACCAAAAACTTTGTTCTAATCATCAAGGCCTCTTTATTAAATGCTTCAGAGTCATGATCCCGTGCCATGTTCCAAAAACAATGACTTCGAAGTGGACAAGCTGCAGTGTTTTACGTCAGGAGTCATAGCCAATGTTTGAGCCTAGCTCGTGGAATGCAGCACGCGCACCTAGGCTGAAACTCCTACGACCAGGCAGGCAGTTGATCAATTCAACTATCTAAGTAGTAAGTTGCCAAAGACTCCACTTGCACTCCCTGTTCGCAGCGTCACGGTCTTCGTTTCAGGGTGCAGGGCGGTGTAAGATTTTGTTGTCGATAGCCGAAATAGCAAGAACATGATGGCATGTTGCCGATGATGTTGTTGACGATATTGATGATGATGACGGTGATGATGAATGCGTGAATGGTGATAATGATGACGATTAGATGGTGATTGTGATGACCATGGTGATGACGATCGTGATGATGAAGATGATGACAAAGCAAAGATGAAGATAGTGAGACCGACAAGTACAGGTGCTGCAGGTGATGGTGGAGACTATTGTGGTGATGGTCTGTTTGTGTTGTTTATTACTGGTGGTGGTGCTGGTGGTGGTGGTGCTGGTGGTGGTGCTGGTGGTGGTGGTGGTGGTGGTGGTGGTGGTGGTGGTGGTGGTGGTGGTGGTGGTGGTGGTGGTGGTGGTGGTGGTGGCATGGGCGATGCTGGTGACGATAACCACGGCTGTGATCTGGCGAAGAACAAGCCCTGCATCGAGTCTTCTATACACTCTGTAACTATTCTTCAAGCCCAAAACCCTATGCTGCTTAGTCAGGCAGATATACTAAATCCAATTTGTTACTATATGAAGCTCTATACAAACCTATAAAGCCTGCTCTGATTGTGAAGGCCCCCAGTGTTGAGGGTCGAGTTGCCCCGCGGAGTGCAATCGGAATCTTTCGACTCTCCGATCCGCATATCTCATCCAAACACTGCGAAGCAAAACAGTGCAGGGTTCGGCAGAAGCGGTATAGGGTGCCGGCGAGACTTTTTACACAGCTCTTGTAAGGGGCTACAAAAGAGTTTGTCAGAGCTTTGACTTTGCTTTGTGAGAGTTCTATTCGGGGTTCATAAGGGCCTTTAGGCAGGGTCATAGGTGGGCCAACTGTCGGTACTAGATGATACTGTTAATGCGCACTCTACACCGCGCAAGTTGTAGCTCTACCTGTATATAATCAAGAAGGGCCGCAGTGCTTTTGGTTCGCACCTGTGCAACCTGTTGCTTCTGCTTCAAGAAAGTAAATCAGTTGCAGATTCATGTGACCACCCACGAAGCTTTAGGAACCCTGCGTTCAACCGATTTAGAATTCCTTGTAGGAGACCCTTTGAGAAGCCTGAAAAGGGGGGTGCAGAGATTCGGGTTAGGCTTAAGATGTAGGGTTGAGGGTAAAAGCTTGAGGGGTAAGGCGCAGGGTTAAAGTTTGAGATTAAGGCTGATGTTGAGTTTAAGTTTCAGGTTTTAGGGTTTAGCACCTGGGGGTTAATTAAGATTTTGGGCTTGGGTGCATGGGGAAGCCCAGGAGGCTAAGGACCCTCAAGACCCTAATCCCTAAAGCCCCATCTGAAGGCCCTGGCCTACAACCCTAAGACTCACTCCAGCTCTCTTCACGTTTCACTTCAGCGAGCCTTATTTCGACCAGCGTCCACTCACCACAACACGAATTCATAACCCTACCGTATGTCAACCCCGCTTGCTCTAACCCCAAAAGCCACAACCCCCAAAGCCGCAAAAGCTTTTAAGCCCTAAACCTTATAACTCCCTAAACCCAAGCTGCTAAACCCAAAACCCTAGACCCTAGACCCTTTACCATAGCTCCTTAAACCCAAGCCCAATACACCCCAAAACACTTAATGATGGCCAAAGTGGAAGCGGCTGCTGCTTACTTTGCGGATGGACTCTTGGTTGGAGGAAAGAGTGTTTAAGATGTAGGGTTCAGGGTTCGAGGTTGAAGGAACACTGTTCCTAGGGTTTAGGGTTTAGGAAGTAGTGCTCGCTTTACTCTACTTGAGTCCCCTGTTCCTCACGGTGCAGTGCTGTGGTGGCAAAGTTTAGAGCTTAGAGGTCACCGGCCGATCATGTCTGCATACATCATCAGAACTTAGTAGCTGAGTAGATGCACTTTACACTTTTGGGGTATAATAATACCCACCATAAAACTGAAAGTGTACACGTTTTGGGGCTTATGAACTCAACTCAGCAACAAAGAGTAATTACGACCTGTACAGTTAGTGGGCTTTCGGAGGCAAGAGGAGTATCAGCATCAGGAAATATTTGTGCACTGTCTACGGTTTCGGTTGCAGTGTGGCAGAACGAAAATCAAGCTGGCGTCACAGAACTGCACGACAATCCCTTCTTCGGATTCCGGTGAACGGTTGCTTCACACGGCCACGCACTTTGTAATCTGTGGCCAACCGACTCACAAGCTGAGCTTTGGGTTTAGGGTTCAGGGCTGTGCGTGCAGGAGTACGGTAGAACACGCAAGCCGCAGAGCAGAAAGCGTGTTTCGACTAGAACGTATGACAATGCCCCTGGCATGCCCCGAAAGCCTAAACTCCATAGCCCTATACGAACTGCATTCCAAAGGCCACAGGGCCCGACGCAGACGACAGCATTGCAAGAAGGCTGGGTTGTTGGAGCATAAATGCATGCATACATGCAGCTGAGACTACGATGAGCTAAGTGTTCGGGTGTTGACCTGTAGTAGGGCTTGGGACCTAGATCCTATTGAGGATCCCTCTGTTTTTTAAGGCATGTTGTAGCGCTAAACCATATTGTTAAGGATCGCTCTACTATAGCCTCTAAGGCATCATGCGTAATTGAGGGTTCTGGAGTCTTCGAAGATGCACACTTAGATCCTCGGGATGTCGATCCACTGATCCACAACACGCCCTTGGAGGTTTAGGGCTTTAGGATTTCCTAAGCTCTGACCTCATTGAGAATGACATTCAACCTCGCACGTACGTGGCCCGATAGGGGACTGGCACCCTTGGCAGAGCAGACTCAGAGGGTACCACGTGGGTCTCAAGGAGGGCACTAATTTGCCGTAGAGTGGGTAACCTTTAACCCTTTTGGGGTAGTATAGTCCCTAGATAATCCCTATATAACCCAAAGGGTTAACCTTTAGTTCCCCATGATACCCGACAAGTAGGGCCTTGGAAGGAGTATATCTGAAATCATACGATCATATGAAGCATCCCTCCAGACTCTTGTATAGTTCTTCTTTAAGGCAGGTTGAATAATTCCTAGGTTTGTAGAGTGAGACTATGTGTCACGTCCTCCACAATGGGCCCTTGATCGTTCTCCAATTTATACACAGGCTTCTACAACCCTAAACCCTAAACAAACCTGAGCCTCGGTTGCAGGGCGCTTCGCTGCAGCGCGTGGCTTTGAGCTCAGCAAAATTCGGCCTTCAGACCATTGCTGCTACCCAGACCTTCGGGGAGGATCCAAAAAGTAGATCCCTTTTTATGGTGGTTCCTTTGAGGGCCCCTTTAAGGGATCTATAGGGTTTTAGGGTTTTAGGGTTGAGGGCTTAGGGGAGGATCCAAAAAGTAGAGATCCCTTCATGGGGGGTTCCTATAAAGTACCATTGGCAGCATACGGCCCCAAAATGGGGGATCTACTTTGTAGATCCACCCGGGGGTCTGGGTGCTTGAATCGTAACAGTGATGACGACGAAGATGAAGATGACGAAGATCATGGTCATGACGCTAATGGTGATGGTGATGATGGTGATGGTGATGATGATGACAGTGATGGTCATTGCGATGGTGATGGTGATGGTTATCATGATGACGATGACGGGTGTCAATGATACCTACAAGATAGCAGCAGTCGCATGCAGGTGCACAACAGTATGGCAGCTGCAGGCGAACATGATTGTATCCAACCTCAATCCTAAACCCAAACCTTCGCCCCGTCAACCCCCCCCCCCACTGACTGGGGGTTTCAGAAAATAGGGGACCCTAGTTTAGTACCCTAAGTAGTAGGATCCTTAGTATAAGGATCCCAAATAAGGTACCCTAATTTTCCGAAAACTCCCAACTCCTGCATTACCCATAATAAGGAATATACCATAATTCCCACAGTTTAGGGTTCTCAGGGTACTGCAGATTTATATCATCAACAGAAGCACAACCGAAAAGCCCAGGAGCTGCTTGCTGTCGGGCGGACTGGCAGCGCTGCTAGCCGGATTAGGCTGGGTCGAGCCGGCCACTCTTCTGTGATACTTAAAGGATCATGGGACTTAGTAACTAAGGTTATAATTAGGGCAACTCTACTTATAACTACTTAAAACCCTAATTGAGGTACTGATAATCTTACTTACTAAGTCCCATGATCCTCCAAGTAGGTTTGGTGCGGTTTTTGGCAGGATCGCATAGGTTCCTACTGGTAGGAGCTTACTATGTTACGGCTTACGGGGCTTAGGGTCTAGAGGTGGTTTAGATGTAGTTCATTGCTTAAGCTTCGTCTTCGGGCTTTTTGATGCGGGATCTTGTTGTTTCTGGGTTTTGAAATGTCAGGTTGTTGGTAATTATACCAGCGTTCCCGAAGATGAGGATCTTGTTCTGGTCCGTATGACGAGGACGGTACGACTCGATTTGTGATCGAATTCTCCACGGCAAGGAAGTTTCGACCGTAAAGCCCGTCAGCCGAAACTCGAAACTGGCTAAAATTGTCACCGCAGATGATATACCCGTTCCGTCAAAACCAATATCTTAAGCCATAGTGCCATCATAAAGCGCCTTGTCAGGGAACCCTGATAGATCCCTTTACAGAAGTTACTTATATAAACATGAGCTCTACTCCAGCTATTCAGTTCCTGTTCCGGTCTTGGTTTTGTTGTCCTAAACCATAAACCCCTAAATACTAAACCCTTAAGCCCTACACCCTCGCCCCTAAACCCCTAAACCCCTAAACCCCTAAACCCCTAAACCCTAGACCCTAAGCCCCTAAACCCTAAACTAAACCCCTAAACCTTAAACCCCAACCCTAAACCCCTAAACCCTAAACCTTAAACCCTAAACCCAGGTCCTGGCCTTGCTAGTACCCGAAGTGGCCTGGTCATGGCCTCAGCAACCCAGACCCCCGGGAGGATCTAGAAAGTAGATCCCCTAATTTGGGGCCCTATACTACTAAGGGTACTTTATAGGAACCCCCATTAAGGGATCTACTTTTGTGCATCCTGTTGAGGGTCTGGGAATGTCTCTTCAACAGAGCCTTATGGTGGTGGTCCAGCTAGAGCTCGAACTTCAGTGGTTCAGGCTTTAGGGGTCTAGGTGTTTGTGGTGGGCTTGGGGTTTAGAGAGTGGCAGCCTGAAGGGCCCAAGTACAACGATAATCCTAAACCCCGAAACCTAGTCATTGGGTCCTGTTGGAGTCTTATGATACTATTCGACGGAGAGGCGTCCCGGCGTGTGCTGTTGGAATGCTGTGCGCGGGCGATTTGTTGGTACATGATTTGAATCCTGAGAAACTAGACGAGAGTGCCTCAAACCCTAAATCAAGCCCCTGATTAATAAGCCTCCTCCCCCGTATTCTAGACCCGAATATAGTCGCCTAAATAGTAGGATCTTTATCATAAGAAACGCAAAAAAAAGGGACCGGAGAAATTTGGTCCTCGTCGTATTAAGACCCTCAAATTTCCCGGGTCGACAGTTCCTGCGTATTCTGGATCCTAATATAGTAGCCGAAGTAGTAGGATCCTTATTATAAGAACCTTAAAATAAGGGACCGGATAATTTGAAGACAATTGAACTTCCTGTGAGTCTACAGTATGGGGGGAGCAGGCAGTCAAGTCAGCGAGATTGGGATGCCTCAACGCTTTAGGGTTTAGGGTTTTGGGTTTAGGGCTTTGGGCCTCTGGAGTAGAGCTGAAGGCTTTCTCAGGCTTTAGAGTTGCAGGGTCTAGTGTGCAAGAAAGTCGTATACTTAGTAGCTGAGTAGGTAACTTTTAACCTTTTGGGGGCTTATATGGTCCTACCAGAATTGAACATGTTAACCTTTTGGGGGCTCAGGTACTCCGCCCTATAGGTATACTTACCCCAAGACCTCGAATCCCAAGCCTTGCCATGCTCCATACCCGAATTTCTCACCGTATCGGAGAGCAATCCTAAGTCCCATTCGCAATCCTGAAACGAGCATTCCACATTCTACAATTATACAATGATTTAATAATTGTATGAGGACGGCTAAGCATAATCGAGCACTTTGAATGACTGTTAAGACTCCACTATTTCAACCTCACCAGTGGCTCCAATTGCAATTTCTGGGCCACACCCGACTATGTAGAAGGGTTTCCATGCTATCATAGTTCTAATAGGAGTTTCCGAAAATAGGGGACCCTAATATAGTACCCTAAATAGTAGGATCCCTGTTATAAGGGCCCCAAAATAAGGTACCCCTATTTTCGGAAACTCCCTAATACCCAACCGCAAACCCGAACCATTTTTGAGGTTCCTTTGCGTGCCTGCCGTCCTCTTGCTGTTTCTGGGCCTCGCTGGCTTCTGCGCGTCGGGGCCTTAGCCATTCAGGCTTTCGGGGTGCAGCCACAAACGATTAGGAAACAAACGGCGATTAGGGTTCTGGAACCGTAAACCCTGAACCCTAAACTGGGCTTTGGGAATGGGGCTGAGGTTCTTCGGCGAGCACCCCTATGGACTTCACAAAGGGCTCCCCATCAGAACCCCAGCGATGCTGGGATTGCTTGTGCGGCTTCGATAACTCTGTGTGCGTGTATGTCTGTATATACGTAGACTACATATATATATATATATATATATATATATATGTATATGTATATGTATCTAGATACATCATTCGCAAATATCTTCATGCGTGTGTGTGTGTGTGGAGTATAGTAACTGTATACTTGTCTGCGTTTATGTATTAGTAGTCATACGCATAAACGTGCAGAATTGTAACGGCTGTTGTTTAAGTGGTCTAGGTGTTTATGATTCTGATGGGGGGCCCTTCGTGTCCGACTCTGCCCTTAAACTGTTAAGCCTTTCACTAACATCAAGTCCGGGTCATGAAACTTGTGAAGAGGTGTCTTGGGCGTACTTGGAAATAATTTTTAATTTTGGTTATTATAATCCCTAAGAAACAGCTAAAATTATAATTTTTGCTGGGGTTCTAAGTTCAGTATAGGTGTGTCAGAGCTTCCCAGTTTGGGCCACAGACCTTGGAGTTCACGACTCACTCGCCGACGGACCCTCCGAGCTCTCCGAACTGCATAGGAACCTCCGGCTGACACCCAGAGACTCAAATATCCCTTAATTAAGGAGCATACCTTAAACTCTAGTAGGATCCCTAATATGATTTAAGGAATATTCCTTAATTAAGGGATATTGGAGTCTCTGGGCACTGAGGAAGGAAAGAGAGAAGCAGGTGGACATAAACAATGAAGCGGCAGCACAAAGGGGTTTCACCTGGCAAGGGATTTCACCTGGCAGGAGGAGTCCACATAGCAAAGACGAGTCTGTTCCCCCTACAAGAAGCATGTAATTGGTGAAGAACATCCAAAAGCCTGTGAATCCCGTATAAGGCCCTGTAGTGCTCTGACATTCGTATGAGACACAACAACCCGGTAAAGTCAGGGGAAAGAAAGCAAAGAAATAGGAGGCCCAGATAAATCACTTTTGAAAGCCTTATGACACCCTGTAAATCCCGATTAACAACCACCGAAAAGAACGCCGCAAGAACCCTTGGGCCCTTGAAGAACAATTTACAAAGAAAAACCTAACCCCTAAACCCTAAACCCTGACAAGCCAGAGAAAAAGCCGCCATCAAACACCCGAAAGAACCCCTCCCAAGGTCCCGGCGGGCTCCTTCAAAGCTACTCCAGGCTGATTTTCTGGGGTTTGGGGGTTCTGGGTGTAGGGTTGGTTTACTAGGGCTTGAGGGTTTAGGTTTGGGGGTTCAGATTTCACTGATGTGGGATGTCGGCTTCCTTAAGGGGTTCACGGAGTGTTATCAAGGACTTGTCGTGGGTCTCCGCGGGATTTCGTCAGAGTTTAGGGTTCAGTTTCAGGTTTGGGGTTCGTGTTGAGGTCCGTATAGGAGCTCTATGGAGGTTTGCGGTTATGGGGTTTAGGATGTAGGTTTAGGGTCTAGGTGTTCAGTTATGCAGGACCGTTATATTGGGCCTCGGGTTTAGGGCCATACCAGAGAGCCATATCCTGGTAAATGAGGCACCGATGGTAACATCCTACCCAGACTCCAATATCTCATGAAGGAATATATTTGGAAATAGACTAGGACCCCGAATCACCTGTAAAGTAGACTCCTGAGTTAAGGGATATAGGAGTCTCTGGGTACTATGTGGGATGCATGGACCAGACGGAGGTTCCCACTGGGCTGCTCTGTTGCCACTACTTTGCAAAATATCGAAGACGACTACCACTACTGCCGCTGCTACTTGAAGACGCAAGTGAAGCAGAATTGGTACTGAAACCCCTGCACTAACATTGGCAAATAGTTCCGGCACATACTTTATAATGCAAAACAACAGTGATAATCACACCAAGAAAGATTTGTGAAGACAGTATGTAACAATGAATGCCAACTCATTATGCAAATGCCATATAACCCTAGCAGTCCTAGTAAGTGCGAACCTAAACAAGACAGTGTCCAAAGCCAATAGCCCTGATAATAAACATAGTACGAACCTAGATATGACAGTTTCAAAAACCGATAACCCTAATAATAACAATAGTGCGAACCTAAATAGAGTAAATTCAAAAATTCAACAGCGAATAACACTGAGCATCATCACCCGAGAGGCGCAGCTGGCTGTCTTTAGCTTTCTCGGCGCCCGCAGCTCAGATCCCACGCGTCGAACTGGAGAAAGTGATATAGAAGCCGAAATCATTTCCAGTACTGCCTTGGTGGTTCCTTATTATAGTTAAAGCATACTAAGTATTACAGGAGCCGAAATCATTACCAAGACTGTTTCGGTGGATCCTAGTTAAAATATACTGGGCGCCTTCGAATTGGAGAAAGGCGAATTTTCGGAAATCGGCTGAGACTTTGAGGTTTAGGGTTTAGGGTGCCGTAGTTGAAATGTCACTGCATTTAAGAATTCACTGTTTGATGTGGGGTGAGAGACTATCTACGGCTGATGATATAAATCCTGCATTACCCATAATAAGGAGTACACCATAATTCCCATAGTTTAGGGTCCTTAAGGTAATGCAGGATTTATACCATTAACCGTAGTATAGGTAATTATGGAAAGGCCTCTGAAGCAGGGCTTCCGAGTTGAATACGCAGTCATGGCTTACTACTTGGAGGATCATGGGACTTGGTAAGTAAGGTTACTCATCAACAGTAGCAGTGCCTCTGAAACCAAGCCAAATCACTTCGAAGTCGTGGAAACGCCGCACAACGCGCGGGTGTTGATTCAGCGACGTTTATGGCTTTGCTTGGAAGGGCAGGGGACTTAGCAAGTAGGTTATAAGTAGAGTTATAAGCACCCTAAATGGAGTTACCCCAATTATAGCCCTGCTTATGAACGACTTACTAAGTCCCCTGCCCCTCCAAGTGAGGTGGCATCAAGGTTGGAGCTTGAAACAGCATAGACTTCACGATGGAATCTTTAGGGTTTAGGGTTTGGAGCATAGGACTTTCAAAGGGGAAAAGGAGGGACCCTGAATGGGGACCCCTACCGGGTATATAATAGCTACATTAAGGGTAAAAGGGGTCCTTATTAAGGGTCCCTACTTTTACCCTTGGAGACTTGATTCCCACGCCGAAACAACCTACTCTATGTCCAACGACTTGGAGTACCACAGAGCGCGGTCTTTCGGTTGCATAGTCTATGGCTATGCGTGGGTTCTGAATAGCAGGTTGGATACTTGGAGGTTCATGGGTAGTTATAAGTGGGTGATACGTCCCTTAATCTAGTTATCCTATTTATAACCTACTTGTAATTACCCATGAACCTCCAAGTAATCCCCAGTGCACTTCAATCCGGACCTTGCCCAGATCCCAGAAACATGGTGACTAATGTAGGAACCTGACTAAGAAACCCTGGGCCTATAACCCCAAAAAAGTAGGATTCAGATAATGAACCCGAATAAAGGCCCCCAAGGGTTCTTAATCAGGTTCCTACATTACCCTATGATGTTCCCTTAGTTGACCGAAGGAACTCCCATACAAAAGCAAAAAACGGCCCTCATGAAGCCTGTGTCGAACCCTAAAAATCCCTGCAAACCCTTCGCCCTAAACCCTTTCTTCAACAGAGAGAAAATCCTTAAAGGAATTAGGCGAAGGTGTCATCTCGGTGCTTTTGGCATTGGCAATGTCGGGCTTGGGCAGCGAATACGTCAGACCCCAGACTTCAAATCCTGTTTTGTGGAATTGAGGGGTGTGCCTCCTATTTCAGCCATGAGCCCTAAACTCTATGAGCACTGTGAATCAAGGCCCTGAACCCCAAACCGGTAAACCCTAAACCCCAAAGCCTTAAACCCTAAAAACCTAAACCCCAAAACCCTCAAACCCTGGTCGTCTGCAATGTGTTTGTTTTCTGAGGCTCTCCTCCTGGCCGCCGCCGGGGTCTTCGTCTTCCACTACGCAGCCGGCACACCGAGCTCTTGTTCAGGGCTCTGTCGACATAAGGTGTAGAGCTCAGGCCTTTGTGTCAACGGGCAGCATACATGTATATATAGACATACGTACATGAAGGGGGAGGGAGAGTAGAAACAGTATTGGTGAGGCCGGGGGCCGGAACAATCAGTGATTGTTCCCTCATAGTCCCTATATAAGTATACGAGAATGTACCCCAAAGCACCAATCTAGTTCTTACGGCATCTATATCTCACATGTTTGTTTGACACGGTCCACTGCTTGAAAGGTACGGGTATACATCGTGAGTAGCTGGTTTAGGGCCTTGCAGTTTAGGGTTTACGGCTTGTTTTCCCATACTGGGGTTGCTAACCGGGGTTACGGTATCGGTCTGTATAGGAAACTGTGCTTCTAGGGTAGTAAGCTGATTGGACATGAAGCTGCAAGGACCTGCCCCGGGTTTCCACGTGCACTGCGGAGGTTGAAGAGGCGCAGTATGCATCCCTGTGTCCTGAGTGCTTCAGTATATTGAGTATATGAAGATAAAGCCCCCAGCCGTCAAGAAGGCCCCTCTACGAAGCCAACAGCATTAAACCCTTATTGTAATTATGCGGGCCCTGATTACGCAGCCTGCAGAAGCCCTATGAAAAACCCACAAAATCGCCTGTTCTGGTCATGCAGCCACCCTTGACTCACCAAAACCTGGGTCCTAGGTTGTTGTAGGGTCCAGGGCCTATAGTAGGAAGCTACGAAAAAGCGCAGGTTATGGTAGCTTGGGTACTAGATCCCAAAACAGCAAAAACCCGAAAGCAAAGCCCCAAACCCTTCACCCTAATACCCTAAATTCTAAAGCCTAAACCCTGAATCTTTAAGGCAGCAGCGAGCCACTGGGTCTTCGATGGCTGCGTGCACTTCAGGACTGGCTTGTTTATTAATAGTGGTATAATAGGAATATAACAGGGCCCTAATATAATCCTTGTAGTCACTATTACAGGGTGGGGGCAGCTCCTAATATACGGGCCTAAAGTTTTACCAGGACCAATACTATTGTGGGGGGTTCCAGATTATGTTTTTAGTATAATGGGCCTTAAAGCCCTCTTCTGGTTTTTTAAGGCCCCTCTATTACTTCATACGACGGTGCCTTAAAAGTAGGATGGGCTTTTGGAGGTGTGTTCTACCGTAACGATATGAGAGCTAGGGGGACGATGTTACTAATCATTCCGATTTCTATAGAAAGGGTTTCTTGCGGGTTGTGCAAGCTTGCACAAGGCTTGTATCATGTGTTTATGTTGTGCTCAGGGAGTTTTGTTGACGTGTTGCGTGTTAGTAGAGTTACTCTAGGTACACCCCCAACCTCCTTGAAGCACTTAAACTTTGTAGCAAGGTCTATAAGAAGGCTCCATAAAACCAAACAGGTTTGCTCCTGCCCGCCACTGTGTACCAGTTACTTGATATTGAAACCCTTATTCTGACCCCTATGGACGGTAGGGGCAGTACCCAACAGACAGGTAGGGAGGTTAAGAGCAGCCAGAGCCTTAAACCCTAAACCCCTAAACCCCCAGAGCCCTGAACCCCTAAACCCTAAACCCGAACACCCCCCCTGCCCTACCCCCCGCCATATTATAGGCCTAAGTCCCGGGTCCGTTTCAGGGTCCTTCTTGATGAGGATGCCGTAGTACTACTGGGACCCACGAAAGGGGCCCTATCTGGGAGAACTACCGAAGTAGTTCAAGGTAATGTAGGAACCTGAAAAAGAAACCTTGGGCCTGTATTAGGGTTCCTTATATGAATCCTACTATTTTGGGGTGATAGGGCCATGGTTTCTCAATCAGCTTCCTACATTGCACCAGCAAACCTCCAGCTTGAAGCCCAGTCTTTGCAGAAATACGCAACATTAATCCCTGTAGTGGCATATATGGAGCCTTGTATAGTAGAATCGCTGAAGAATCTGCGCAGGACCGAAGGTATTTGGCCTGTCAGCCGTCTTGCGCCAAAGTTGAAGGAAGCCCATGCGCAGTTGGAGTCTTAGGTACGCTATCATTAGCCGGCATCGGGCTCCGTGTCGACAGTGGACCTTGGTTGCTGACTGAGTCGATTGTGTTCCCAGTGTGACGCTGCGATTGTGCCCGGGTTGCTCATGTCCTAGTAACAGCTGTTGCCTGCAAGCCCAAAGGGTCCAAAGTACCGATACAGTAGAATGTAGGGTTTCTATATTAGGAATTACTATTACGATTTGGGGAAGTCTTCCCCATAACAGTACATAGGACCTTTTGGGAAGATAACTCCAGAAGCTCAAAGCCCCGAGCCTGAGCCCTCGCCAAGGTATACACAGCTGGCTTGCGGATTCACGAGGCATCGGGGGAGAAAGGGGAGGCGGCTGGGGTAACGGAGGAAAGCTCTCGACGCATTGACGCAAAGTCCCATTAAACATATGTGCCAAAATATACAGCGAATGTACAGTTGCAAAACATGCACAAAACGTGTGTAATGCAACCTGTGGAATGTATTCAACCGCCTGCAATCCGACAACGCTAATATGCAAAATATATAGTAAAAACATCGGGACCTGGCCATCTGTCTCTCTGGATCTTTAGCACCCTGCCGATCATAATGCTCTTTTTGTGTTGGATCCTGCATGGGTGTTCTCACACACAGCGTACAGACCGCGCCGTGTTCACGGCATTGCTGTTTCCACTGCATCATCTCGGAACGTTGATTAAATAAGATATCAAAATGCTTTGCGAACTTGAGCAGGTACAAGTACGTTTATCAGTACAAGCGGCGGAGCTATGCACGTAGGCTGGGTACTGCCCCCACTCTGTAACAGTTAGATAAGATTCATCATATCATTGTGTACAGCCCATAAAACTTGACCCCTAACATGGACTGGTACAGGGTGGAGGGCAGTACCCAAGCTACAGGCCTGGCAACTGCAGTTCCTCACTTGCCACTGCTCCGTCAACGCACGAGCAGCAGAGCCGAAACCTTCAGCCCTCTAGGTAAATCAAAAATAGACCCTCCAAGAACCTAAACCCAAAGCCTAACCCTTCAACCTTAAACTTAAAAAACACCCTAACCCTTAAAACCCCTAAACTTCCAAAAAAAACCCAACACTTAAAGCCCCTAAACTTCCCAAACCCGAAATCCAACTTCTTTGCCCTATAAATACCCTTTGTAGTATAGGGCCCCAAATTAGGGGATCTACTTTCTAGGTCCTTCCGGGGGTTTGGGTAAGGGTTAGAATTCGGGTTCGGCTTTCCGGCTACCGTCCGAATCACTGCAGGGATCAGAAACCCGAAATGCGACAGGTGCCGAAAGCTCAACCCGCTGAGCATCGACTTGGGGAGCTGTGGCCCCCGCGCGGAGTGCGAAGGCAGGGGCCTCTTGGGTTTAGGGTTTTCGGTTTTGGGTTTAGGGTTTTGGGTTTTGGGTTCAGGGTTTTGGGGTTCGGGGGCCACTGCCTGGGAGGATTTCGGGATCAGGGGGTGTAGGTGATTTATGAGCTTAGGGTCCGGGTCGGGCGAAGGCAGGGGGGTGTGGCTTAGGGGTTTAAGTTGCTGCGTCAGGGCTTATTGAGGAAATCCTGTGTTTTCTTCTTGGCGGGCGGGAAGGAGGGATGGGGGTTGAATCGGGTGTTAAGCGTTTTCGTTCTTTGGGGCTCAAGAGCTGAGTAAAGTTGATGAGTGGATTGCTCCGCTTGGGCAAAACAAGTACTTGCGAGAAAGGCGTCTTGAGTCTTCAGTTTTGTTGCCCCCTGGTTTAGGGTCCTGCAGTTCACGATATCTTGGGAATAGACTTGAACTCCAGCTAAAGTCCCTTCTGAAATTCCACCCTGAACCCTAAACCCCTAAACCCTAAACCCCTAAACCTAAACCCCTAAACTAACCCTAAACCCTAAACCCCTAAACCCTAAACCCCTAAACCCTAAACCCCTAAACCCTAAACCCTAACGGTAGTGTTTTGAGTTGAGGGGTTTTGGGGACTCTGGGGCAGGGGGACCTCGCGTGGACTCGCTTCCATTCTTCTCCTGGATGCAGCACCTCCAGGACGGCAGCCGCAAGCCTACATCTAATATAAGTCTTTTACAGGGTACTATAGGGTTTATGCTTCCTTTAAAGGGATCTATAAGGGCTACTATAAGGGCTATTATGGGGTTTACAGTAGGGGCCTATAAGTACAGTAGAATGGGCCCCAAAACCCTATTCTAATTGTTAAGGCCCCTATATTACAACCTTAACAGGGTTTGCAACCTAGTAGTAGAGTGGGTAACCTTTAACCTTTTTGGGGTAGTATAGTCCCTATATAATCCCTATAGAACCAAAAAGGTTAACCTTCAGTTCCCCATGATACCCAACAAGTAGGGTAAATTGGGTTGCACAAGAACTTCGGAGGGCTTTACTTAGGGGTACCTAGAAATATATTTCAATTTTTTGTTATCATCATCCCTAAGAAACAGCTAAAATCATAATTGTTGCTAGGGTTCTAAGTTCAGTATAGTTCAGAAGAGTGTTACACGAGGCCTAGTCTGTGACCACCTGTGCGGTTCCGGGGGCTTAGTCGACGACTTGACACTAGAGACTGTGGATTCAGCAAGCCCTAAACCCTGAGCCCTTAAACTCTAAGGAGGGTCGAAGCTGAAGAATATCGGGTTGTAGGATTTGCAAAGCTTGGAGTTCGAGAAAATGTGCTCCCATGGTCCATGTATAACATTGCTGCAATTAATCTAATAAGGCTGTTTCAAGAACAAAGGTGTGCGAAGGATTCCTTTGCAAAATAACTTGGGAACTGCACAAGTGTTCTGCATGCGGTGGTGTTCCCAAAGACTCCAACACCCCAGCATGCAGGAATATTCCTTAACTGAACATTGAAGAGGCGATCTAAATCCTAAACCCTACTGTACGCTGCAATCTAAACCCTACAACCTAAACCCCGGTCCCTACAGCCGTAAAACTACTATTTGCTTAAGAACCCCCAAAAAATAAAAAATATAGTCCTTATGGGGGTAATATAGGGATTATTATTTTTATTTTTTGGTGGTTTCTTAAGCAAATAGTAGAAAACCGGGCCCCTTCATGCAAGTCTCGAGAGACTTTGGGGCTCAGCCGGATCTTGCCAGTTGTTTTTTTTGATTTCGGGTAATCTTAGATAGTGAATGGGGGAACTTTAAACTTTTTGGCCTTATATGTTAGCTCTATCTTAGAAAGTTTGAACTTTTTGGGGCCCGGTTGTTGAAGAAGAAAGTAATAAGGTGCTTTTCAGGATTTCCACTTAAGGGTGTGTGTTTTAAGGAATATCATGGGTAACAGGTTTTAAGGAATCTAGTAGGTGACAGGTAGATTTCAGCGTGCGGACCACAACTCGTGCGGGCGGATTTCACTTCGAAGCTCCTGTGGCCTTGCAGCGCTCAGGTCTCAGGGGCCCAAGAAGCATGCGTTAAGCTTTCAGGGCTTGGGTTTAGGGTTTAGTCTTCAGCCACGCGGATTTGCAGTTCAGCGGTGATAAGACTCCCCAGCTAAACCCTAAACACCGCAACCTAAACCCTGAAGCCGTTTAGGGTTTTTATGAATAGCCTCAATCCTTAAGAGCAATGGTTTAGGGTTTAGGGTTTAGGGTTTAGGGGTATAGGGTTTAGGGTTTAGGGTTTAGGGTTATGGTTAAGAGGTTTCGGGTTTTAGGGTTTAGCGTTTAGGGGTTGAGGGTGTAGGGTTTTAGGGGTTTAGGGTTTCGGGTAGCCCTTCGCATCTGATGGATGTCGGCTTCGCACTACGTCGAGCCACGCCTCTCCGCGACTTGGTCGGACTAATTTGGGCCTGAGCCATCGTACCAAAGATTGCGATAGAGTACGTACATTAGAGTATACAGTAAATTATAAACTTATACATTCATACATGTACGTACATATTTTTGCTTAACCAGAACACGTGTATGCATACGTAGCATCATATGTTTATATACATACGAATATGTATATTTCCATATTCATTCAGGAAGGGTGCGGGGCTTGGGGTTTTAACGGTTAAGGCTAAGGAGCCCAAACCTTCTTGCTTTGTGTGCTTTCTGAAAAACTCTCAAAACCCAGGGTTCGCCATCCTGCGTAGTCTATGACACGACTAACTCGAGAACGGTTTAGGGTATCCCTTTATAGCCCCTGCGGACCCTAGATTTGTAGGATGTGAGGGTGTAGCGGTCAGGGACCCAGTACAAAAAACCGTAAACGCAACACGGACCGCAGATCGCAGGCCGAAGGAATAGAACTAGGACCCAGAGTAGGCCCTTATTCCCTTTTTTAGGGTTTAGGTTACCTTACAATCCCCTTTAAACCAAAAAGGGCACCCTTTCTGTTCCTAGGCTACTCTTAGGTCTAGTCATCCTGCCCCCAATCAGCAACAGTGGAATGGTTCTTGTGCATATGGCCCGGAATGGTAGTCCTATTATAGACTTTAACTGTATGGGCACAGTACCCAATTGATTTATTTCGGGTGACTTTAGGGTTTTATGCGGTCAAGTAAAGGGGCCTTGAAGATTAGACCAGAGTTTCGTCGGATCGTTTAGTGCGTTTATTTAGAGGCGAAAAGGGAGTTTTATTATGAAATATTCCGACCCCCATAGTACCTAGCTGCCTGCAAACCAGAGCCTCCAAGAGCAACCTCAATTCAGAAAGGTACCTTAAATCCTGTTGAGTATCCCTGTATGACTTTCTACATTTGTTAAGGACGATGCCTTAAGTGATATGAGGCTCTCTTGCTTAGCTCAAGGGCTTTGGGAAAGCCACTTCACTACGCTTAACATCCCGTTAAGTTCAAGCAAGAGCATGGGAATCCTCGACCTCAGCCGTTTCTGCTCGAACTGTTCGCATCCAGCATACAACTTCGATTCTTGACCCTTTTGTGCATAATTTCGCCCTAAACCCGAAACCCCAAAGGCAGGCTTGGCCATATGGAGAAGGGCGAGGCTCGGAGTTCTAGACTCCACGGTGTATGGCCCCGCAACTTTTGCGCTTGCGAATGCCATAAACTTCGCCAACCGTGTCCAGCTCTCTGAAGCAAACTAGGTATCGATTATACATCATGTGGGGAACTGTTGAGATCGACACCTAGCATTGGAGTTGATATCAAAAGGCTTTTGGATACAGAGCTCTCTCCATTCTGGCCTCACGGTCACGATGTTGCGAATCCCGGTCAACCCTCCGGCGACGGCCGTTCTGCCGCCGCCAGCGACCAGGCATCGAATGGTATCTTCGCCTTCGTGTCCTCCTTGTGGAAGTAGATCCAAAACGCCTATATACTTCTGGGAGCTCACCCCATGCTTACTAGTAGTATATGTCTTGGATAGTAAGCGGGGGGGAACTTTAAGCTTTTTGGCCTTATAGAATAGCTCTTTTTTGGGAAATTTTGAACTTTTTGGGTCCCGGTTGTTGAAGAAGAGAGATGTCTACTATTTGCTTAAGAACACCCAAAAAATAAAAAAAATGTATTCCTTATGGGGGTAATATAGGGATTACTATTTTTATTTTTTGGGCGTTTCTTAAGCAAATAGTAGATGTGGACCTCCTCGGATGGAGACGTTGTTTGTTCATCCACGCTTTGCAGGTGGGGGGGTCTTGGGGCTTAGGGTATATTGGTGCTGTAAAAACGGACGAGGGTCTGTGTGATAGCCGTTGTTTTTCGACTTATTTCGGGTTTGGGGAATATACCATGCTACAGACATGTAGAGCACGATTTGGGGACACGATTGCTAGCTGTTCAGACCTCTGAAGCTTTGCATCTCGAAAGGAGCCCCCACTATCATGTTGACAGGTGGTGTTGATACCCGTGGCTCCTACTGTTGCGAGTAGTACTGCTTGCTATTCCTGCTACTATTTGTTACTATTCTGGAACCTCTCAACCCAGACCCCCGGGAGGATCCAAAAAGTAGATCCCTTAATGTGGGCTCCTATAAAGTACCCTTAGTAGTATAGGGCCCCAAATAAGGGGATCTACTTCCCCTTATAGATCCCTAAACCCTAAACCCTAAAGGATCCATTAAAGGATCCCTTTAAGGAACCCTTTTTTTAGCCCCAAATTAGGGGATCTACTTTCTAGATCCTCCCGGGGGTCTGGGAACCCTTGTCCCACCGCAAATCGTAGACCAGTTCGCAGGCTGCGGACGCCCGTGGACCCACTGCGTCGAGGTGGACCGAGCCTTGTGAAACGCATCCCGGGACTTTTCGGGCTGTTGATATGTATGGGCGAGGGTTTGGGTATTGTGTGAAGGGGATTTTTGATGACGTTGATGATGATTATGAGGACGATGTTTTTTTGGTTGCAGGTTGATTGCTATTGCTATGCTTCGATATTATTTGCGTTTGGGATGGGGTTCGGAGAGAAGTATGGTTCCGGTGTGTGCAGACCCTACAGTAGAAGCCCAAAAGTTGGAAACCCCATAGCCTCAATCCTTAAGAGTAATCTATAGCGAATCCCAGCGCTATTTGGCCTTAGTCTTGTTTCCAACTTTATGGGGTTTACTGTAAACCCCTAACCCCTAAACCCCTAAACCCCTGAACCCTAAACCCCTAGACCCGAAACCCCTAACCCCTAAACCCTGTGCAGACCCTAAATGTCTAGAAGTCCCGGGGCTCTGCAGCCCTCAAGCGCTGTACGCAAAACGCTCAAAAAAGACTCAAGGCTTTGAGCCGAAAACACTTTAGCAAACTTAATTTAATGTAGGGGCGTAAATAATAACCTAGACTATTCTGGGGTTCCTTAATATAGTTAGAGTAGCAAACTTAATGTAGGAGCCTAAATAATAACCTAGACTATTCTGGGGTTTTCTTATTATAGTTAGAGTTATAGTACAGTGAGCCGCAAACCCTATTCTAATTTTTGAGGCCATCAGCCTTGACTCAATTGGAAGTGGCATGGCGTCTGGGCTCACAGGGCTGGTGTCAGGCTGTTCTGAAGAATGAGGAAGCCAGGCGCCCTTACGAAGAGGGAGGAGCTCAGTTGTGGTATCGGGACAGCAATGGCTTTTTTTCAATCTTACGGTCAATGCTGGCTCACAGCAAACG